CCCAATATCTCAGAAGGACTGGTTTGTTATTGGTTTTAATTCCCTCACTCTATTGCATTGACTTTTTGACCCACTATAATCTGACTTTAGCACCTACACTTTAATGACCCTAAATAAAATTGCCCTCTTTGCAGTGTTCAACCTCATTAATGCCCTCCTTAAAACATTTACTTCCCTTGACTTCTGTGAATTCTGCTAGATTTCCACTGAAGTTTTCGTTGACTGATTCTTGGCATCCTGTCCTGGCTCATCCTCCTCCACTTTCCTGCAAATGTCAGTTCCCCCAGCCTCAATCCACTGTATGTATTCTCTCTGGACTTTTATCTATACCCAAAGCTGTAATGGCACACCATTCACTTGTTTATTGTTGAGTCTGTGCCCTAAGCAAAGCCCTCACTGAGATCCATATCTGGATACCCAATAGTCTCTCATCATCACAAACTCCTTATTTCTAAAATTGAACTTGTGATCGCTTCCAAAAAATAGAGTCCCCATTGCAAGTTCCCCAACACATAGAAATGTGCATGTGTGCCTTCTGTACTTCTCTCGATAGCACTTGACCACAAAATATGAATAAAGTAATAAATGATAAACTGCAAATTGCAATTTAATAATTAATTGCAAATGGCCTATTAAATGTTAGATTGTGCCAATAAAATGTAAGCATCTTGAGATCAGAAATTGTGTCTACTAGTAATTATTTGTTGAAAGAATGAGTTAATGTAAAAATTAATGGATTTATGAGTGAGTGACTGAATGAATGAATTTGACTAGAAGACCCTTCCTATCCTATCTAACCCAGTGCTAAGAATGTACAAATTCTCCAGTTGGTAATGCCCTTTAATGTATCCCCCAGTAGAAAGTGTGAGACTGAAACTGTCCATACATGTGAACAAATACACAGGAAAATATACGTATCCAAAGGAATTTGCATGTAGGATTCAGAAATCTCAGTGCCAATCATAACTTTCACATAGACTTCAGGATCTGCAGATCCTAGATTTTCCCACTGGTGAGTGACCTTCTCATGTGGCCTGTTTCACATGCTTTCACCGGTGGAGATGTGGCCCTTCTGACAGTTAATGGAGCTGATCCCCAAAATTTCACCTCCAACAACAACCTCCTTTGATTATCATAATAATTCAACTCAAAAGCTCCCTTTTCTGATGATATAGTCAAAACTTGGTGAAAGCTATTTTTAAAAAACAAAAGGAAGAGGAGGGGAAGAGATGGAGGAAGAGAAAGAAGAGAGGAAGAGGATTCTTTTTTTAAATGCTGAGGTTAAGAAAGCATATTTTAAAATTATACAAGCACTCAAACTTTCTGGAACCTTTGTTTTGAAACATTTTCTCTGCATGCCTTTAGGTGTGGAGTTCTGAGAGCGTGAAACCAGCTCGTGAAATTTAGTATCAGTACATGTGTTATAAACACTTAGGAAAGTGAATATATTGAGCATTTCCCCAAATTCCCTTCTCCCCGATGCCTTGTATTGGACTGGCCGACACACTTGACATCCTGTGATGCTCCACTTTTGAGGACAGGTCATGGATTTCCATCTTTGTATCCTCTGTAGCACCAGCATGCTGCTTTCCAAAGAATAGCACTAAATGGATGTTTCACTTAGTGTACGAGCACTAAGTTGAAATCAATGTTATCAACAATTTTGCTTTTTATAAGGCAGTTCCTGCTGCCACCCACTCCCTTAACTCAGGCTGTGTGAAACTTCAGACTGACCTCTGGAAGACTTCTCACTCAGGTTTGCCATTTTTAGGGCATTGCATGCACTGAACATCAATGGATCCCTTCTCCCCATTTTGTATCCCAAGCCATCCAAAATGCTTTCTGTAAAATGCCTATAGAATACACCACTCTCTGAGAATATGGTGGCTGCTAATGGGTCATTTTTTAGCCTCCCAATTACCATATTCACAGCTGGTTCCTTTTTGTTAATAATAATAATTAGCTACAGAGACAATGGGTACCATTTATAAGAATGTTGGGCACATAGAAGGTGCACAGTAATAATTGGTTTATTATAATTAGCAGTGATAATGCTCACTGGTAGATCAGTAACAATAACTAGAATGAACTAGTTTTTGTGGGGTTTTTTTCTTTGTTCTGTCTTTTCTTTTCTTTTTTTTTTGACATTACCTTAAGGAAGCAACTAGAATTATTGTTGGTGTGTAGGCTTTAGCATCCATCTGCCTAGATTGAAATTGAGGTTTATCACAAGCTCACTCTGTGATTGGAGGCAAGTTACATAACCTCTCTGAGCCCCAACTTTCTTATTTTTAAGAGATAATTACAGTATCTAACTCAGAGGATTATAAGGATTAAATGTCTATTGTATCTGTAATTGAGCTCACTAATGTACATTGTTTTTTGTTTTTGTTATGGCTATTATTTTAAAAAGAACTGGGAAAATGCAGCAAGGCAAAAAAGTAAAGGGTGCTATTAACATTAATAATGTGTTGTGTGCTTTCATTTTTTTTGTTTAAATGAATGTCCAAGTATATTCATCTTTTATAAAATTTGAATTTATGGTCTATTAGTTTTTTCAATAACTTCTCATGCTCAATAGATATTCTTGTATATAGCTTTAATACTTGCATGTTAACCAATTTTGTGTATATTCTGTAATTTGCTTTGGATTTTTTGCTATGATAAATTGTCATGATATGAATCTGAATACATTCCTTTTGATATATACTTGATAAATCTATTGGTATAAACCCATAGTAAACCATTTAATGTGCTATAGACTATCTAAAAATAAGTCCTTTTAGGATAAGTCGCGTCGTTGGCTTCCATAAGGACTTCTATTTCATTTACAGCAGTAATTCAAAGCGTCTAGCTTTCTTGTAATCTTGCCAAGCCCAGGTAGCATATATACATTTTTTTTTTAGCTCATCCAACTTAATGACTTCTACAGATTACGGAAAGTATATTTTGATTCTGAGCCTCAGATTCCTGATCTGTAAAGTTAACTAACAGATGCAGAATTCAGAAATGTAGTCACAGATCATAAAGTTTGTATTGATTCCAGAACCTGGAGGTGCTCAGTATTTGAAGTGTAGTTCAAACAAGAAAGCACCATGGTAAAGCTGGGCTAATGCAGGAAGCAACTGGAGGGGAGGATAATGAGGAGAGTTTGTCTGGCAATGTTGTGATGTCCAGAATATCCCAGTGTTCATCAGACTTGCAGATTCCAGCTCAAGGAGTGATGGAGATAACAGATGTAATTTAAATCTTTGATTATTTTTATCATTGCCCATCCAGCTATACATCCTGTTCCATAAAGGCAAAGATCTTTGTTTTACTAACTAATACATCTTAAACACTTAGCAGAGCGCCTGACACATAGTAGGAATTCAAGAATAAATACCTATTGACCAAATAAATAAGCTGAATCAAAGTGTGGGAGACTGCACACTGGTGGCCAGCATGTGGGCTTCCCTGGCTCAGTCTGGATGAGCCACCAGGCGTGAGGCCTCTTGGTCCTGTGTCTTCACGAGCCCCATTGCCAGGCCCTAATAGCACAGTCTTTTGTAAATACTTCGACATTTGGCCTGGTTAAGATTCAGCTTCCTGTTCTAGAACTCAGGCTCTACAAAGCAATGTTGGGTCTGATCTCTAACCCACTGTGGATCAACTCAATAGGTCAACTCAGAGAGCAGCATTATTTCCAGTTCTCAGGGAAGTCCACTGCTGTCCCTTTGGATGACCTGCGGTTAAGAGCATGTTCTGGGAGATAACCTGCCATGTGAAACGTAGAACCAGTTCTTTAGGTAATACGATGTGGTGGTTGACAGCCCAGGCTCTGGAGTCGGACCGTCTCAGTTTAAAACTCGCCCTCATGACTTACTATGCCACCTTAAGCAGGTCACTGTGCTCAGTTTTCTCATGTATAAACTGCAAATAGCATTGGCCACCTTTTCAGATCAATTTATAGATTAAGTGAATTACAACATGTGAAGAAATGGAAACTATAAGTGAACATTACCTGCTACTTTGATCATTGTTAGAAATAATGACCTCAATGACAAGTTACTATGTGCTGGACACCAAACGTTTATTATTTCAGGGAATCCTTCAAAAACTCAAGGGGCCATTGTTGTGAGTAAAGACATTTGGCTAAAAAAGTTTTAGTAATATTCTGAGGTCATATAGGTAGAGTATATTTAACTCAGATGTGTCTGAAATAGTCTCCTATAGAGATATTTTTCCTAACAGAACTTGAAATATCTGCATTCTTGTGAAAATTGCAATTTCTAATCTCTAACAGTTAGCCTTTTTTAACCATGCTCACAACCTCAGAATGATTTTCAAAAAGCTAAACTTAAGTGCATGTGAGTAACTCAACAGTCCTGTGTTGGTTTAGTGGCTTATAGTTTCGAGGACTGTTTCAGATCCTACTTTATACTGTGGTTCAGTTCACCAATCTCCATGTTTTCTCTACTATCACTTTTAGCAAAATCAATTAGCGATCAAATGCAATTAAAAATGATAGTGTGACAAATGGTTTCCCAAACACATAGTGTCCTATCCAAGGAATAATGTAGACTCATATGTTGTAAAGTGACTGGTTGACTGTGCCTTGTGAGTGGCTGATAGTCTTATCAAACTGACAGACTTGAAATTTGAGCCCTTTTCAGACACCCCCCCCAGCAGATAAAACAAGGAATATTGAAAAGCACTTCATTTGCAGATGTCAACACAGTTACTGTATTTGTAGGTGTGATTTGCTGTGCCACATCTGACAGGTTATTGTGTATATCCTCGAGATTCATCTCATCTTCATTGAAATGTGCTGTAAAATATTCTGTTACCTTTCACTAGGTGAATGAATTGTGATATTTGGTGAAAGAACCTTCCATGGCCAGGAGGTATAGTGCACTAGGAGCTGGCAGCACAGTGGTGATTCGAATGTTTGCTCTGACAGCATAGGTTTACACAGGACTCGACTTGATGTTTAAAGATCTTATTTTCCTCTTTTACAGGTTAATTGTATATGGTTTTGTGAAGGTTATGATACATACTGGCCAGTTGAAAAATGGAGACTTTCATTTCACTGACTGCTTATTTTTTGGTTCACTGATGTCAGCTACAGATCCAGGTAATTTTCTAAATAATACATTTCCTTCTTTTTAAGATCCAAATATTCAAATTGAATGTTTCTCAAAGACCATCATCTCAGTCATCCAGCTAATCATTCTTTATACCTCATTGATTGCAGTTGACACATGTTAATGGTTTAAAGAAGAAGAAAAGAAAGAAATAAAAGAAAAATAAGTGAATATTCAGATAGTTCTCAAAAAATTGGTCAGAAAGCAATTTCAGTAGTGAGAGAGATTCTGAAATATCTACAGTTTTTTGCTCTAGAATGTGTAGCCATTTTGATCTGTACTCCTTAATTTTTCTCCATTCAGCATGTCTTCTTTCAAAATTATCTATTGAACTAAATGGCTTACAATATATATATATTTTTAATTTTATGGTGGAACTTTTCAAGAATATCGAAAGTAGGGAACATAAGAAAAAAAAGATTGCCATATGCCCTTCAGCAATTACCAAATATGGCCAACATTTTATTTATATCCCTCCACTCATACTCTCTCATTATGACTGCATTATGTTTGTTAGAGCAAATCCCAGACATCGTATTTGATATGTAAATATTTTTGAAAAATGACCATTGCCATTTAAAAACCTAAAAATATTCACAATCATATATTATATCAAGGATCTAGCCATTGTTTAAATATTCCCAGTTGTCTTGTTATTATCAATATTAGTTTGTGTAGCAGTTTGTACAAATTAGGATCCAAACAAAAGTCAAACATCATAATTGATTACCATGACTGTTGAGTATCTTTTAATCTTTAAGTTCCTCTCCATTTTCTATGTCATTTGTTTAAAAAAAAGAAGTGATTTGTCTTGTGGTTGAATTGAATATGGTTCCATAAAATGTTCTCATATGCCCCCTATTTCTTGCAAGCTGATGGTTAGAGCTGGAGGCTTAACCAGATTCAGTTTGAACTTTTTTTTGGTCAAGATTACTTTAAAGGTGGCTCTGTAAATGTTCTATTATATTACGTCAGGAGTCAGTGACTAGCAACTCAGCTGTCAGACTGATCCATCACATTACCGAACTGCTACTCCAGCAAAGACCACCAGAATACACCTCTAGGTGAACAAGGTGGATTTATTCCATGTGGGAGACCACAGGATGTCTCTGAGGGGGTGAGAAGGTACTTAGGATAGAACTTGGGTTTATGTTTGGTGACTTTAGTGAAGCAAAATTCTCTGGATTAGGTGATGTCAGAAATGGAATTCCATTTAGGGGATGTTTGGTCTGTTTTGTGGCTTGGACAATGTTTGACATTTGTGTTTACACATAATTATATAATCCATCATGATCACTGAGTGACCTTGTCTGATGCTGTTCTGTGAAATTATTTATGTTCAATAGCCAACAGTGCCAAGCCAACTCTCAAATGTTAGGAGCTGCTTTTCTCTTTCTTAGGAAGGCCCTCTGACCAGCAGTATGGGTAGCACATGGCAACCTGTTACAAATAAATGCAGAATCTCAGGTTCAACCCCAAACTTCAGACTTTAGCAGTATCCCCAATTAAGTCATATGCTTATTATAGTTTGAAAAACTTCACACTGTAGAGCTCCCATTCTAGCTAATGGCATAGTACCTGTTAATGGTTACTTTTTTAACCAGTATTTATTAGGGCTTGAACACTAGTGGTGTACAAATTCTATCCTACTTTTTGCACTTACTAGATAGTATTCCCCTTAAAGAAGCAGTTTTCCAGTTTGACTATTTGAGTAGTTCATGGTATAATGTAAACAAACAAACGACAAAAAGCAGGACAAACAATAGATTCTTTCATTTACTAATTTTCAAAACAAAATGCTGTTTCAAAATAATATGACATCTTCCACATGTTACCAACATTTTAGTCTTTAAAATATGTCTTTATGAGCACATGGAGTTGATATGCTTTGGTCTGTGCTTATTACTGTTTGTGATGATCAAAATGCTCCATTTTTAATAAGTGGGGACCTCTTTTAGTTTCTCCTGTACCCTTTCTCACGACCCCAGTGGTCTTTTATAAGCTTTCATTTGGGTAGGACTAGATGCTCCAACCTTACCTTTTATGTTTTCTGATCTCTGACTCAAAATCAGCCATTTCTCCAAAGAGTCTTAGTTCTTTCAAGGAAGAAATTTGTTTAAAAAGCACAGTCTGGGCATTGGACAGGTCATTGTAAGGAGAAATTATATCAAAAATCCAGATCAATATTTGCAATTCAAATTCAGGATTTTAGAAATTTTACTTAGCTGTCTTTAGTTTTCATTTACATTTGCATTTTTCTTCTGCCTACTTTTCTTCATCCTACTATATTAATATAATTTCTTACTAGTTTAAAATATATTCTCTCAACGTTATAATACATATATTATTGCTTAAAATACTGTGACTGAAAAAATTTCATTGTGGTTATTTTTAACCTTTAAATATATTCCACTTGGGGTGTACAGTTAAAAATTGCTGTTTTAAAATCACTTGAAATTATTCTTCTGCATGGATAAGCCACAAGTCAGTCCACAATGATGCTCCTCTGTTTCATTGTGCTTTTTTATTTTAAAATTAGATTAGATATCTATAGGATTCCTAAATGAAAACCACAGAGCAAAATAAGAGAAATCTAACTCTTATACCATCCTCTCTACCCTAATTTTCTAACATTTTGGTCAGTTTTTAGCTTACCTTTCCTGGTTTTGTGTGTGTGTATTTTTTGTAGTACTGGGGCTTGAACTCAAGGCCTTCACCTTGAGCCACTCTACCAGCCCCTTCCTGTGATGGGTTTTTTTTGAGATAGGTTCTCATGAGCTATTTGCCTGGGTTGGCCTCAAACCATAATCCCCCTCATCTCTGCCTCCTGAGTAGCTAGGATTACAGGCATGAACCACCAGTGCCTGGCATCCTTTCATTTTTAAGTTAAGTAAATATAAGGAACATAAACATAGTATATGGTACATTGCACATGGTTCTTCATCTTGCTTTTGTTTAATTAATAGTAGCATTTTGGTGATTAGTCCATGGCAGCATGTACAGATCCGTCTTACTTTCCCTTGTAGGTGCAGAGTTCTACACTGCTTATTCAACCTTCCCTCTCTGAAGGGACATTTGGGTTCTTTCTTGTCTTTTGCAATTGTAAATGATGTTATAATTAGTATATTACTAATTGTAAGATGCAGATTTATCTGCACTGTGTGAAATTTTAAAACTTTGCATATTTTGTCAGTGTTTCTTTGAGATAGATTTCTAGAAACAGATGGAAAGGTAAAAATTTTCCTAGATATCAAATTTCTCTCCAAACAGTTTGTGCCATTTTGCATTCATTCCTGTACTGTGTGGCATTTTCTGTTCTTCACAGTCATACCAATGCAGTAGTTTAACAAAATTTTGGATTTTTATCCATAGTCTATATGAAGATTTCTGTCTCCCTATGGTGGTTTGACTTAGTACTTCTCTTACTCATGTGTTTATATGTTTTGGGGGACATAAGAATTCTTTTCTGAAAACCAAATATTTATAGGATGCTCTTTTCCAATAGAGTTACTGGTCTTTTACATTTCAAGTTTTATAAATCTTTGATACATTGCGGATAAAAGGTCATCTTTTTTTCAGCAATGTGTTACAAATATTTTCACAAGTTTTTTTTTTTTAATTTGCTCATAGTGAATGTAGAGGGGTGCTTGGCAGGGTGTGATATATGACTCTGAGAAAGATGAAATGACAGTGGATCTCAGGTTTGGAATCCACAGTGTAGTTTAGAGGGTCAGAACTCCAATGTGTTGTGCAGAGATAGACAGCTCCATCCACAGGGTTAGGAGTGAGCTGCTGTTCCTTCAGTGCTGAAAGATTACACGCTACATTTGCACAGCCCTGGGGAAATGCAGAAGTCTCTTGGCAGCCACCAAAAGCATGGACTCAGGACAAATATTTTCAATCAACTGGCAATTTCTAACTAGTTTTCTTCTGCTGCTGTTAATCGGCATTCTGCTTTTCAGAGCAGATCCCATTTCAGGTCACCTTTGCACAAATTTTTGTGTTGAAAAGCCTTGCATCCATTGTGTTCTGGTCCCAAACTGAAGCCTGAGTTTGTTGAATTCTGTTGAATGACTCAGCTGACATCAAGTATGTTCAAGCTTTCCTCCTTCGGTGGCTGGTAGTATCCCTGAGGTTGTGTTTACAGAAAGTCTGATTGAAATGGAAAAAAAAATACAACCTCGTAAGATGCAGATTTATCTGCACTGTGTCAAACAACTGAGACAACTGAATTTTTTACAATATAAGACTGGTTCATAATCATGAAGAGAATCCTGGAAACCAAGTCCGCTTTCCAAGGCTGGCGTGGACCAGTTGTACAACTTTGGGGAACTACTTAACTTCTCTAGATTTTATGGATTCTTGGAGGTGGAAGATATGCAGTCTCAGCCCTTAAAACCCTTTGATTTTACAGATGAAGAAACAGACTCCTCATCTGTAAAATGAAAAGTATCAACTAGAATTAATATCCTTCCTGCTCTAATGTGCCATGATTCTTACTTCTGTGAGATTTATTTTAAAACTAGCTTTTGTTTTAAAGAAAGTAAAATCAACCCAATGCCTATCACCCAGATATTTTAGGATTTTAGCTCCAACTCAGCAAGTGCTAGAAATGATGTCATAGAGAAAAAACCAGTATACAAGTGGGAACATGAGCTCCCTTCTTTTACTGGAGCTAATTATTATATTAAAGCATGCCGAACCCACTCTCTGCTTAACTGGTGTAATTTAAGATCTTCAACAACCTTAAACACCTAGTTAATCTTACCCCACAATTATTCATTTATTGCCTAAATTCCTGAGACTCTCTAATTTATAACAAGAACCTATGCTCTCGGGTCTGCTGTTTCTTGGCCTTCTTTAAATTAATTCCTCCCCATTTAGCTAAATCTTAGACAGGTGTTATTAGCTACTCATATTTATCATGTATAGATACAGATTTAGACTTTAATTTCTCCTGCATGTTTCAGACTCTATTGAGTCAATTTTC